CTAAATTTATTTTGTATGATTTGGTTTATTTTTTTATTTTTATTTTGAAAGGATGATTTGGTTTATTATTAAACACTGTATATTTTTCTACCATCGCAGTCTATTTTAGTCTGATCGATAGGGATTGATAAAATATGTTACCAAAAAGCGCACAATGCTTGTCAAATTATTATTTCATTTGTTAGTGAAGTGAAGATAGATGACATGTTTGATTTTTTATTGTATTCAATTTATTAATGTCAGTATTTTAATTCCAGCTTACTAATAAACAAATTAAATTCCTATTGATAAAAGGTCTCATTTAAAAAAAAAAATGATTAAAAAAAATTATTGATCAAAGTTTAAACGTGGCTTTTACAAGTACGTCTCTCCGAACACAAGAGTCGTGCAATGCCCTGCCTTGAAAAGGTTTGGCTCAAGTGAAAAACTAATGCTTTAAGCTTTTGGTTTTAGCACGTTCATTGTAAACTTATCGCCTCAATATATTAATTTAACTACGTTATCCAAACAGTTGATATGTTCAATAAAACTAAGCCATTTATTAGCTAACATAATTCTATAACCTACATTTTCAGTTATTATTATGTCATTATATATTTTTGTCAAACGTTTCTACTGTAATCAACGAATTAATCAATAAGCTTTTCAGATTCATCAACCTCAAATCTAAGCTTATACATATAATCCAACTTTTTATCCAATTAAATTTATGTGCATAATATAATTATTCACATAGGACACGTGTTTTTGTATTAATTATAACACAAATGAGGTTGACACATATTTTGAATCACACGTGACTATTATACAACAACATTATATTCAAACTTTAATCTCAAAAGAGTTTGAGATCGATAAGAAAGGATAAAAAGATAAGGAAAGATTAAAAGATTAAAAAAGATAAGATAAAGATATACATAAGATAAATATAAAACGATAATATAAAAATGATTTAAAAAATATTAAAAGGTGAAAGGATAAAGAACATAAAGCAAAATAAAGATAATGAAAAGAGATAAATTCACTAATATTTATATTAGAATGAGGTTTGGTGCACTAAAACGATGATTCACTAATAAGCTATTTGCATCAAATTAGATCCTAAGACTATTTTTATTATTCTTCTTTTATGAACTAATAATTTTACCCAACACTTATACACTAAGTACCTTGTTGACATTAACAGAACATATTATAATAGGTTAGGAACATTTGCCAAAAAAAAAGAAGTTATACTATATTCACTTTGATTAATTTCAGTCTAAAATCAAAGCAGTAAAATTATAAATGGGTAGAATTGAGCATTAATTATATCTATAATCAAGAAGCTAATGTAATATGATACTTTTGAAATATACATTGATATAATATTTTTAAATGAGCATAATTAAACTAGTACCAAACGAGCATACATAACTTACAGAATGAACATCGAAAAAATTCAAAAGCTCTTTTGAAGTATCTAATGTGCTTACATATTCAATTGTGTATGTTCATTCCTTTCAGCGTTATACTCACATGTAATAAGCGGCAGTGGGGTTGGAATTAAGACAACCAAGCGATTGCGGCGCTGGACAACAGACATGCGATGGCGGCGCTGGACGGTCACCAAGCGAAGGCAACCTTCTAAAACCGGCTATCCCTGCGATGAGGAGCGCCAAAGTTTCACAGGCTAGATCTACCGATGTAGTGAGGGTGGCGTGGCTCGAGCATCGTGGATTTCCGATCGACAGAGTGTGGTGATGAGGGCAACGAAAGATAACGGACGATAGGGTATAATTCTAAAGAGAATGGGTAGCTAGAGAAAGAATGTGAGTTGCATTCCCAGTCTGGGTTTGGGAGGCTCAATTACAATGATAGGCCATTCAATGATGTGTTTACACGAAGTTATTCTAGCAAGTGGAATGTAAAGGCTATCTGCTAAAGGCCCATGTCAAGGTAATAATCTTAGTAGATACTACCAGCGTCCCAAAAAATTTTGTCATTTCAAAAAATTTGAACCATGATTTTGATTAGTACCCCATCCGTCCCAAAATAATTATCCTACTTTGACCTTCACACAGATTAAGAAAATGAAGTTGACTTCACACTGTAGCGACATTGTTTGGCACTGTAGCGACAATGTTTGACACTGTTTTGCACTATTTGACATTGTTTTGTATAGATTTGTTTACCAAATAAGGAATGTTTCAAAGTAGGACAATTATTTCGGGACGGAGGGAGGAGTATAATATTACTCCCTCCGTCCCAATTTGTATGATACTTTACGGTTTACGATGTTTGACCGACGATAAAGCAAAATGATCCATATCAACACTCAAATTAGTTTTAGAAACTCAAAGTTACATATTCAGAAACTACATTAAAATCACTACAAAACCTGCAAAAAGTAATTCAAATTTAATAAACTTTTGATGTATAAAGTAAAAAATTAAGAGTGATTTATGTTGACCAAGTGAATAGTAAATGTATCTTACAATTTGGGACTGAGGGAGTATATAATTTATAAATTTTATACTTTTACGAAAGACTTTTAACAAAGAACATTTTCATATAATTTTTATATTATAAATAATTTTCAATAAAAAGAAGTAGTTAGTCAAAGTTTTTAAAATGACAAAATTTTTTGGCACAAAGGTAGACGTTGTCAAATTTGGTACGTGACCGTTCTAGTCGTAACAAAAAAGAAATGATCGTACTATCTTAATGATACAGAAGGAGTATATGATTTGTTTTTATTTTAGGATGTTTTTAAGAAATGATCGTACTATCGGACTATCTTAATTCCTTCCAGACCAGACCAGACCAGATTAGACCAGACCAGACCAGTCCAGATCAGACCAGACTTGGATAGTTATAAAAATACAAAGAAACCAGACCAGACCAAACCAGTTCAGACCAGCAAATATAAAGAAATCAGACTTAGAAAAGCTACGATGATATTTTATTTTGAACAAATTTAAACAATTCAAATCAATTTGATCGGAACATATTTATACAAACTCAGCTATAACACTTGAGATAAAATCAAGTGGGACTCTATCAGTTTAGAATTTAGATCAAAGCATACCAAAAAAATTGATGTTTAAGTCAAAATATTAGTGTAGTAAAAAAAGTCAAAATATTAGTTGATTGGATCTTGGCTTTGTCTACAACCAACGGTCTTTTAAATCCATTTCTTAAAATTAATTTTGTGTTTTAAGGCGGAGACCAACTTCTGAAAAAATTGATTATGCTTTTACTTTTAAAATTGAAGCAAAATCAATTTCAAACACCACTAAGGTGTTTGGAACTGATTCTGCTTCTGCTTCTGCTTCTATTTTTTAGTGAGAATCAGAATCAGAATTTTCTGCTGTATAAAAAAGTGATTCTGTCTGAAATGTTTGATATTGATTATGCTCTATGTAATAGAGAATCAGTTTTGAGTGTTTGGATAAGCTACTTTTGCAAACTTATTTTTGTGTAAATTTACCAAAAGGACACTATTGCTACGCTCAAGTGAAAATCATATGCTTATTAGTTATTACTAAACCAAAGAAATTATTTGCAAAAACAAGATGAAAGACCAACACAATAATTCGAATAGTTATTACCTTGAAATTGAAGCCGAGGGATGAAGGTTGGAGAAATCGTCGCTGGAGAAGCCAAGCCCCGACCCAAAGGGTTGCGTCGCTTGGAGACGATTGCCGGAGAAGCTCTCGCAGGAGAACCCCAAGCCCCGGCCTAAAGGGTTTGTCACACAGAGACGATGGAGAAGAGAAGCTCTGTGTAACACCCCGGCCTCGCAGGACCCGAGGTAGCTACTCTAGACCAATAGTACTGTCCTCACAAACCACCACGAGCCTTTACCGCGCACTTTGTCCTCACTCATGCGCGCCCTGAGAAACTTCCCAGGGGGTCACCCATCCCAAGACTACTCTCGTGCAAGCACGCTGAATTTTGGAGTTCTTGGGTGATGAGCTCCCTTAAAAGGAGATGCACCTCTGTTGGTATGAGTAGTACTATTAATCCGTTTAAATTAAATCTCAAGTATTACAATCACCTCCACTTAGGAACGCAACGTCCTCGTTGCACCCAAACACCAATCTCAATCATATCCCAGAATCTTTTCCCCTACTAAGTGCCCGCCCGATATCCAACGGATCAGCACACCGTCGCAGGGTTGCTTTGATACCATTTGTAACACCCCGACATCGCAGGACCTGAGGTAGCTACTCTAGACCAATAGTACTGTCCTCACAAACCACCACGAGCCTTTACCGCGCACTTTGTCCTCACTCATGCGCGCCCTGAGAAACTTCCCAGGGGGTCACCCATCCCAAGACTACTCTCGTGCAAGCACGCTTAATTTTGGAGTTCTTGGGTGATGAGCTCCCATAAAAGGAGACGCACCTCTGTTGGTATGAGTAGTACTATTAATCCGTTTATATTAAATCTCAAGTATTACACTCTTGAGGGTAGAGAATGCCTAAAGGGTTTGTCTCTGATTTGGGTTTAGGGAGTTTTTACGGAATAAAATTAGAAGAATCAGAAGCTGTTTTGGAGAAGCTGCTACTCCCCAGATTCTAAAAATCTGATTTTTCAGCCATTTAAAATCACTTTTAAAATCAGATCCAAACACCTTCAAAATTGATTCTGCTTCAAAGTGCTCCTTGAGACAGCAGAATCAGTTTCTAAAAGCGATTCCAAACACCCCCTAAGAGATGTTTAACATTGATTCCATTTTTTTTGAACGTTTGATTTCGCTTTTTCTTTTTTCTTTTTAAAAAGAAATAGAATTAAAATCAATTCTAACCAAACAGATCTCCCTCCATTTTTAAAAAACCATATATCAATTTGTAGCACATTAGAAGCATTTATACATTTTTATCTAAATACTCCCATATCTAAACTGAACATGTATATCCAAATCCCTCTAATATTAACGATATTTTTTAATATTATTGAACAGTATATTAGAATGTTGGGCTGCCCCAGTCGAATCTGAATCCTTGATGGGGCAGGACGCCAGAGACCCGTACAAATATAACTTCGTACACTACATAGACAAAGCAAGCAACGGTTCACACAATTAGAAAAAATCTCTCCTCTCCCTTCCATTCTTGACTTTTAGTTGTAACTGTTTTTATTTTGCAACCTCCGGGAGATGTCAGCCGGTGGCATCACCGCCACCAACTCCTCATCCAGCGGGAGCCCCCGGCCCGGCGTCGCCACCACGCATCACCGCCGCCGTTTCGCCGACTTCATTACCAACGACCTCGAGAAATCATCGGATCACGTCCAAATTCCCTCCGAAGGTTTCGCCGACGCCGGAATGTGCAACAACGACCCCAACAGTGGCGGCATATACCACCAAGAACATCCCGCGATCAGGCAATTGGCCGCCCGGAAAAGGATTCCGGGCGGGATCGCTTTCAAACTGAAAGAATGGTTTTTATGCCGTTTAAGGTCCATTTCCCAGTCGATGAGATTGACGAAAAAAACGGGGAGAAGAGTTCTAGGATTGCTTTTAGTATTGGCTATGGTCTCTGTTTATCTCAAAGTTTCGTTCTTTATGAGCGAGAATGTCGAAGAGGTTAATGGGTCGCATTTGGTTCTCCAAAATTTCAAAAACGATTGGACGAATGCGCAGAGGATCGTGTCGGAATCGGATTCTTCTTCCACCGCCGGCTCCGCCGCCGGGGATCTTATTCGGATACGACAAATGAAGGAATTACCAGTAAGTCACTTATTTTCTTTTAAGGATATACACATTTTTAATCAAACCACGAATCCTTAATTCGGGAAAAGCCACTTTTATTTACGTTTAAAATTCTTAAAACTCGTTTGTTTTTTCCACATAACGCGTTCTGGGGTGATAGCGTCTTGTTTACGTATTTGAGTAGAACTAGCAATAAAAGAAAAAAAAACGGAAGGTTAGAGGAGAAGTTGATAGTTGGAATTTATTTAACAATCCTTGTAATTTCACGATGATTTTTTTTAAAGTATCAACTATAAGAATATTTTAGTCCAAATCAGAAAATTAAAATACAATTTAATTTGTTGTTATCATACGTCGGATGTCTCTAAAACAATTAAACTCTATATTAACATCAGAGTCAGTTCAGATCTAAACACAATATCACAGTCAAATTGATCCAGACGAATCAATTATAAAAATTAATAATGACGAACCAATGAAAAAATGAATGAGACATGATTCTGATGATGTATCTAGTCGTAATGAGTGTCGTAAGTGTTGTTGTCCCACGTCAGATATCCCTAAACCAATTAAGATAAATTATCGTCATATTTGATTGACCTTTTTTAATGGAACTCCAAAATTTAACATAATTAAAAATCTAAATGTAACATGTTATCACTATTAATGAGCATAATCATAAATCATACGTAGTAATCATAAAAAATCGTGGTCACATATTTTCCACCATCTTATTTTAATTTTAATAATAATACAATGAGTGCCACTGCATTTTTTTTACTATTTTTATATTAGTGACTGAAATGGGGAGAATAAGAATATAGAAATTTCCGGGAGGGAAGGTGGGTGTAGTCCAATGGATGACCATCCACTCCCAAGTCTCTCCTTTGTGGGATGTCTTGGATTCAATTCCCTCCAAGGCAGATGAGGGAGGTATTGCTCCCAATGATTTTTCCTACCTTCACGGAGTTGCTGGATTCGTCCATTGGAGTCAGTACTGACGAGGCTGACTGTGATCAGATTCTGATTATAAAAAAAAAATAGAAATTTCCGGGATGTGGTTAACTGTTTATCCACTAAGAGAGTTTTGCGCGTCGTTCGTAGCGCGCCGAGTGTTTTAGTGGGAGTCCACTAACTTCCAAGAGTTCGAGTCGCTTTGAGATGTTGACTTGCTGACTTTATTCCAATTACTATTTTTTTAGTTATATAGTACGGAATTATAACTTAATTTTCAAGATCTTTTCAAACAAGGTTACGAGACCCTATGAACTATGTAGCACCGACGGGACACGGAATAGACACAAATTGTTGTTAAAATGTCACTACTTAGAATATAGGACATTACACCTGATATTTAAGAACTAGTCCCTAAAAGTTTAATAATAACGATAAGAGAGAATTCCCTAAATAGGAGTAATTTTATTTTGAAATTTCAAAATAAAATTATAATATTTTTTATTTCATGAATAAGAGTAAATTTCTGCCAAGTTTGACATTACTGACTTTAAACATGACATTTTTTCCAAACATGACAGAATTACCCCTTTTCGTGGAATAAAAACATGAAAGTCCTATTTTGAAATTTCAAAACAATTTTATTTCTATTTAGGGCAATTTCTATAACAATAATTATATACAAGAAGATTGAAAGTTTGAAACAAGAGTGAAAGGAACATATATCAACATGATGAAAACTTGTATTTCAAAGACGGAGTAACCAATATAATCCATAAAATTTAAAATTGTGTATAAGTAGTTTAATTGTTATGATGATATTTTGCATATTAAGACTTGAAATTCTTATTAGATAATAAGTAAATAACCCCAAACGGGTTAACTGAACGACCCGTGATGACTAAAACACTGGAAAAGCTAACCCCAAACGGGTTAGCTTTTTGAAACACTAAATAACCCCGATTCTAGTAAATAACACTAGAATCGGATCACGTTTTTATATTTACAAGTATTTCTTATTTATTAAAGTATTTAAGTACTTAACTAATGTGGAATAATTACTTCAAAATATGATACGTAGTATATTTATAGCAAACTTTTACTCTATTATAATTAACAAAAGAAATGCCTTTAATTAATTTGTTTAGAATACATGTATATATAATTTTATTGTAAAGGACTTTGGGGGAGGGCAAGTAACACATGTCCATCAATCTTTCCGTTTATGGCCATGCATACCTAATTTTGAACATGTACAATAATTAACCAATAATAACTTCATTAATCCTTGAATATGAAAGTTTGATGTGACACTTACCGTTTAATTAAGAGAAACGTTTTTATTTGCAAGAAAGTACTCTTTGTGTTGTTGCATATTTAAAAAAATACCGACCTTAAGCTGTTAATTCTTGCACTTTTTAAAGAAAAAAGAACTCCTTCTATAGGATACAGTGGACTATGGTAATTGCAAAAAGCTGATGATTCTCTTTTTTCCTTTTATGTCTTTTTTTTTACAGGTACTAGAGATATGGAAGAAACCAAATAGTGATAACTATTATCAATGCATTACTCGACCCAAGAATAGATTCAGTGTGTAAATATTTGTTTTTTTTTCGAATTTTGAGTTTTATTCAGTTCCTACATGAATGAGGCTTTTATACATATGACTGTTCTTTGTTCAGGGACAGAGACACCCACAAATGGCTACATTTTGGTTCATGCAAATGGAGGACTAAACCAAATGAAGGCAGGGGTGAGTGAACATTGACATGCCTTTGCATTGTTTTTTGTCTCTCTTTTTACATTCCTTTGGAAAATGCAAGCTGAACCTTAATGCTAACTTCCGATTTCAGATATGCGATATGGTTGCGATTGCTAAAATTATGAATGCCACTTTGGTTCTTCCTTCTCTTGATCACGACTCATTCTGGACCGATCCTAGGTAACACCCTTAGCCCTCCCACATAAGCCGAGTATAGATATACAAGAAACTCGCATATGAGCCGAATATACATGCTTTCCTTTTAGTAATTTGTCTTTATATTACAGCGGTTTCAAGGATATATTTGATTGGAGACACTTTATAGAGGTGCTGAAAGATGATATTGAGATAGTTGAGTCTTTGCCTTCAGAGTATTCAGGAGTGAAGCCATTGTCAAAGGCACCAGTGTCCTGGTCAAAGGTCTGAATTAGAGAAGTATAGATATATAGATTTAAAGAACTGGCTGGAGCTGAAATTGATTTGATCCTCCTTTCTTTTCGTTCTTTGTGCAGGCTAGTTACTATAGAAAAGAGATACTTCCTGTTCTAAGGAGGCGTAAAGTCATCAAGTTTACACACAGCGATTCAAGGCTTGCCAACAATGGGCTAGCTTCCTCTATTCAGAGGCTTCGTTGTCGTGCAAACTATAAGGCTCTTAAATATACTCCTGAGATTGAGGAGCTTGGAAAGAGGTTGGTGGATAGATTAAGGGACAACGGCGAGCCGTATATCGCACTTCATCTGAGGTAAAAGTCTTGTGTAGTTTTTGTTAGCTAGCTCTTTCCCACTTTTAGTATCTGTCAATTGTGGCAATGGCACTTCAGTATCTTTCTATGAAGAATTTCTCAGCCCTTTTACCATTGTGATAAAAACACTTGGTGCCCATCTTTGAATGATTTCACTTTTAGTCCTATAATTACCAGGACTAAAACACTTCATACTCGATTTCAAGACAAAGGTTGGAGAACCCGAAGTTCTTTGTCATATTAGTTAGCAGACATTAATTGGAAAGGTAGCATTTTGGATAGAGTTAGCAACATACTTACATACCAATTAAGTGTCTGTGTTTGAGAAATGTTGTTGTCACATTGCCACAATGGTTACAGAAATAAATGTACTTAAAAGGCTTGTTAGCAACCCAAGATTCTTAATTCTGTGTTATTTTTTAAAATTAAAGTTTTCCAAACTTATGACCTTTGATTATAAATTGCCTTTAGATATGAAAAGGACATGCTTGCATTCACTGGGTGTAGCCACAACCTAAGTGCATCAGAGGCAGAAGCGCTTCGTACGATGAGATACAACGTGAGACATTGGAAGGAAAAAGAGATAAACAGCGCTTTAAAGAGGCGGCTCGGGGGTTGCCCTATGACACCTAGGGAAGCTGCTTTGTTTTTGAAGGCAATGGGGTATCCCTCAACTACTAGGATATACATTGTTGCAGGGGAAATGTATGGTAACAGCAGCATGGACGGGTTCCGTTCGGAGTACCCCAACGTGTTCTCTCACTCGACACTTGCTACTGAAGAGGAGATGCAGGGTTTTGAGCAGTACCAGAACCGTCTGGCTGCCTTGGATTATATTGTGGCACTTGAGAGTGATGTGTTTGTTTATACCTATGATGGAAACATGGCTAAGGCAGTTCAAGGGCACAGGATGTTTGAAGGTTATCGTAAGACCATTAGCCCCAACAGGTTCGCTTAATCTCTTCCCCTAAATATCATTTGTTATTAGCAGAATCCATGCAATAATCAATATATGTTGCTAAAATATAGGATTGTGTTGGCAGGTTACTGAATTGTAAGACAATTTCGGCTAAAACACACAAAAAGATCGAATTTGATCTATTAGTTTCAATCGGGTTGTTTTGAGTTAACCCGATTGTTTATTTGTTCATTTTCCCCTATCTTAAATTAGTGCCCACTCGCAATAATCAAGCAACGCTAAAGGATTGAATCTAATTGATAAGTTACTTCAATTTTATTTCTTTTTCTTTAAAAAGGGAGTTAGATGCACAATGGCTTCCCCGCAAATTTACTCTTGTCATTTTGATAATTGACACTTAAAATTTGAACTCGTGATTTTTTTAGCACACGGTAACAATGCAACTGTATAACATTTTCTCTAACACTACATAAGTTATTTATATTTCATTTCAGGCACAACTTTGTTCACATGGTAGATTTGTTGGATAAGGGTGCCATATCATGGGAAGATTTTTCCAAGGAGATCAAAGCTCGACATTCTCATAGGCTCGGAGCTCCGAACCTAAGACATGTAGGAGAGTCACCAAGAACAGAAGAAAATTTCTATGCCAATCCTTTTCCAGGGTGTATATGTGATAGGTCTCGAGAGCAAGCTAGCAGGCTTGAGAGATCTCAAACCAAGCCAGAAGGACTAGTAGTAGATGGTGCTTCTCAAAGATAGGTTTTTAGTTTTTTCCTTTTTTACTAAAAAGGGTAGGATTGTAAATTGCCAATACAAGCGAGGTCGAGGAAGCCGGAAGAAGTCAAGAGGTTCTTCCTACGGATTTTGGTCGCCAATGATGTTTGTACACAGATGGAGGGGTAGAAATGGAATAGATCAACATAAAGAAATAGCGCGGAAATGATTTGTGTGGTGCGGAATGTTTATTCTTTTATTTATTTTTGTTTTTTATTTTGTTTATAGCGAGGGCTTATTAGTTAGTTAGTTTTTCAAAAAGTTTTAAAGTAGTGGATAATTAAAGTACGAATAGTAATAATTATTTAGAGATGATTATTCAACTCCGGTGCTCATCAACTACCTTTTTAGTAAAGTACGAAGTATTCCGTGTTAATCCTTCCATTCTAATTTATTCGTTTTCACACTAAAAACGTTTATACAAAAATGAACCAAAGATATTACTGAAATACTCCGTAACTTATTTTTCAAAACATAAGACTAAATATGCTTAGAATATAATCATTGTTACTAAAATTTAGAAATTGAATATAAAAATAAATTCTGTAAATAAGTTTTTAGTCATAAATATGTAACTATTTGGAGGTTTAATTTTATTGCAATACCCATTTTCAAATAATGAATTAAAGAACAAACTCAAAATTTAAGCAAGAAGAGTAGCTTGGAGCATATTGATTTTTTTAGAATTCTAACTTTCAACAATAAGTCGATTTAGTTTGATTTTTATTGTCATCCTTATTTTGTGCTGAGATCGAAAAGTTGATGTGAAACACATCTAAATTTCACCTGCCAAGCCCCACTCTTGAAAATCAAGCTAAGTTTATAATAAGAAATTCTTTGTTTTTTATGATTCAAAAGAAAAGAAACATCAACTATTTTTATTCTAACTTAAGACTTCATTATCTTATTTGAGCTCAAAATGTTCATATTACTAGAAATGGGGTCTGGATCACTCAATTTCATCTTAGATGCTTTGTATTTGAGTTATGAATAGACCTGGTTGCAAATTTAGAACTTGACCATGTCAAGTAAACCACTCATGATGAGAGTGGTTGGCAGATTTTGGACTGAATCTAGTAAAATCTAGTCAGGGTCGGTCGACTTCGATAAAATATTTGTGATTATTTGTTTTACTCCATAAGGATTTATTTTATTTTGTTCACCCATGCTCAATTAATTATCATTTTACTCTGGTGTCATATGTCGATTCATATTACTTGATCTCAAACACTTGGAATAAATGTTTAAACATTCTTTATTGCTGTTGTTGTATCTCTCAGTTGGGAGGTCTATTATTTCCACTAGAAAAAAAATGATAACAAGGGAGACATGTCATAAACTTTCAATTGAAAATGCTCAAGCAATTACACTGGATGGAAACGTCTAGTGGGAGAATTGATTAAGGGAAAATATTTGAGGATATACAAGAAGTCAAGAAGAGAATATTATTGTTTTTTTTTAAAATAAGATAAGCTTTCTAGGTTTTTCGACTTGTGTTGTTCATAAATTTCTAGATTACTAAACATACTTTCCCCTTAGGATCAAAATAAATCACACGCTAAAAAAAGTAGAAACTGCTATATCAGTCTATAACTTTTCTTCAAGGACTTTTGTTCACACAGCTTAGTTGGCTAGCATAAGATTGAAGATCCCTAATCGTGTTCTAGATCTGAAAGAGTGCACTTGTCGGATGAAAATCTTCACCTGATTCACATGTGAATCTCGATTGAAGTTTGAATTTGTAACATGCTAAGGGAAATTTTCGAAACCTAAAATCTTCTCTAAACCCATTTGTAAACAGTCACCACCACATCTGAAAGTGTTTGGTAAACATGACTCTCAATCTCTTTCAGAATCACGAGCTCATATGAATCTTGTACACTTAATCACATATTTATAATACAAAGACTTAATCTGACAATATAACTTTGTATTATATCACTCTAACTCACTTGCATATACTAATGAGAAGCCTTTTTAAATTGTCTCCTCTCACCCTCAAGGATGCTCTTCATTCACACTTATCAAGAGACATGATTTAATTTGGTTCTCTTCCCCCATAAGAATTCTTTCACTCTCCTTTCTCAAGGATTCTCCAACACTCTTAGGGCACTCATAGGAATGAGGATTTTTACCCCTATTTATACAAATCTACTTAGGGCTTCTCTAGAATTTTCTATACACCATTGTATTTTGAGAGTTTTTCCATAAATATCCACAAGCTTCTCTCATCTTTTAGAGGATGTAGAGAACTTCATTTTTCTTCATAATGTTGTGGAGGCTTCCTTACAATTCCACATGGCTCTAGAAAGTTTTCCACTTCTCTAGAAAGTTTTCCACTTCTCTAGAAAACATCGCAATGTTCTAGAATCTTCTCACTTTTCTTCCACACACTTCTAGATAATTTCACGTCTCTCTAGAAAGTTTTATAATAGTCTAAAACATTCAATGTTTCTCTACACACATATAGAGAATTCTAGACATCTCCCCAATATTCTAGAATTCTCACGGACTTCTTAATTAAAAAGACAACCAAACAAATCCCCCTCTAACGACTTAATTGAGAAGTAGCAGTCAACCTTCAATAACATTTAGATTCACAAGTCTCCATTTTACATGTGAGTTACTTCGCCTCAAACAAAGCTTGTATCACAACATATGAGCATCTATCAAGGAATGGTCATAATCTCCTTGGCAGCAAGAATTGATCTACTAAACTATCTTGTATCATCGCTAATTATTAACGGGACATGTTGCTTGATCACCTTAATATCAGAAAGACTTTCCACATTAACTGTAGATCAAATCAAAAGACCAAATCCAATACACGCGTTCTCATGAAGATCTCTTCTCCACCACCACTTGATTTGCCATTGTTTACTAACTGGACATGCCTCCTAATAATCACAATATCAAGAAGACTTTCAATACATCACACTACAACATATCAAATCACGAGACAAGGCAAAGAACCACCCATACAATGCACACCCATCAAGCTCTAAAGTGAATTCCAACATCCCATCAAAGAGCATGATCTCGAATGCCTCAAACAATACTGCTACCATCACAGTAAGACAATATCCATCCCCACGACAAACTTTCCCGATGTCTCTACCTCTAACAACCTGGTTTTGATATCACTATTGAGTAAACACGACTCCTGACCTCTTCTAGGATCACGAGCTCCTAGGACTCATGTTCACTAACCCACACACTCGTAATACAAAGATTCAATCTTACAATATCACTTTGTAAACGAGTAGCTCATTTCACTATGTATAAAAGATTACTTCACTCTACCTCACTCACACACCCTTATGAGAATAACCCTTCTTGGATTGTTTCCTCTCACCCTCAAGGATGCTCTTCAACACTCGCACTCATCAAGAGACAATCTTGGGTTCTCTTCTCTCACAAGAAGTCTCTCATTTTCCTCTCTCAAGGAGAATCTCACTCTCACACTCTTAAGAGATCTCTTAAAGATTGGATAATATAGTATTGGTTTGAGAGCTTCACTCTCTAGGGTTCAGTACATCTCACGAATATTGTTGAACTTCCACGAATCTTGGATATTAGCTCCCTCTATACTTACTCTTGGCATTCAAAAAGTTCACCTTCTCACTTTCGCGTATGGGGAAAGGAACAAGTAATTTTAAAAGAACAAAATATCCACCCGTCACCAAGAAATTAGGATAAGCAAGCTGATGCTTGAACACTAGTTGTACAACCTAGACCAAAACAGGAGAAGGAACCTTAGTTAATAAATGTTGCTCCCACCTAGAGGTAATAGAAGAAGTGGAAGAAAATGATGTTGACAAAGTAAGGTACCTTGATACTATAACAGAGGATAACATACTGATAGGCACTAGTTGTTAGTGCCTAAGTATACATTTTTATTATTGTTTGTAATGTTTATTTACTAGTTTTGTGCAAGTTTATAGTTGTTAGTTTGCATTTGATTGTAATCGTATTTCTAGCATTTTTATTGTTTGTTGTAAGTTGTAGTTAGTTTGGCTATAAGTTTAGGATAGGTTTGGAAGCAAAAAGGATGAAGAAACCTGAGTTTTGTACAAAACCCGGTCGGGTATGGACTTCACCCGGCCGGGTATGAAGTGACAAAGGAAACTGCTGCAAAACTAGCAAATACCCGGTCGGGTATTCCATATACCCGGTCGGGTATGAAGTGATTTCGGACTAAAGAACGTGCATAAGACACAAAAACATGGGAAAATATTTGATTTGGTAAATACCCGGTCGGGTATGTCAAAATACCCGGCCGGGTATCCGGCATTAGGTGTTGAAAACACCTATAAATAACCCCATTTTCCTTCACTTTTCATTATCCTTTCTTCCATACTCTTAAGCTCAGTTTAGAATAGCATTTCTTTATATTTTTCTAGCTATGTTTAGTCTCCAAATGAGGAGCTAAACTTCCATTCTTGGTGTTGCTCTTGAAGCTTGTTGATTATTAAAGTTGTGAGTTATTTTCTTAACTTCTTTCCTTGAATATTAATTAATAGTTCTTTCCTTAATACCATCTCTATATTAATGTTGGGGAGTGTTGCTAAGATGACAATTAGTTAACATCTCGACATTAGTTAGAATTGTATTTTCTTCCTCTATATTAATGTTGGGGAGTGTTGCTAAGATGACAATTAGTTAACATCTTGATATTAATTATAGTAGGATTCATTTTCTTTAATAATATTCTTCCTTGAATATTAATTAATCCCTACTCATATTTCATATTAATATTTTGAACATTACTTAAAGGATCAACTAGTTTTGTTTCATATATTAATTATTACTAGAAACGATCAACGAACTGATGGTTAATCGTTGATGGTTTCACAAGTAAGTAACTTCGGTTTATTAATGCACGGTCGTGGTTAATAAACTTAAGAGGGATTAATTTTGTTGGTTAAACCGAAACCGTTGTGTCGAGGTTATCAATCTCAATTGATTTCATCAAGGAGTTAGAAAGATTAAATGCTACTATTAAATCGGTATAAGGCGTTGTTCTATATTTGATTAATAGTAAGGGTTATTAATGAACGGTTGTTGTTAATAACTACCCTCGATGAAGTGGATGTACTCCCCCCCGATTGAGTATTCGAGAGGGAATAAGTTATAGATATAACAATGATCGACTAAAATATATCAACAAGTGGAAAGTAACAATGTCAAGTCCTTTTTATCTTTGAATTAAACACATATAGGTTGTTCATCTTAGTTCTTAATTAAATTAAATCACTCAACCCAAATTCCCCCCTTTTTATTTACTAAGTATCATAAAAAGAGAATTATTCCTTTCCCTGTGGATACGAACTCTACTACGCTATACTACGTATAAGTGTTAGTATTGAAAATGATTT